GATTGTCAGATTCCAATCTTAAACAGCTGTGAATGTGTATGTAGTTGATGTTACAAAACACAGCTATGATAGAGCTGTACTTACTATCAGTAATCATGGGCTCTACAACTCACTTATCATCATTAATGTTTTAGAATAATTCATTCCTGTTTCTTGTGTTTTGGGGGACTTTCTTCATTTGTTTGCTTGTTTTGGGGTTATTTATTTATTTATTTATTTATTATGGTTGTTTTGAGACAGGGTCTCTCTGTAGCAACAGTTGGTCTTTTTTGAGGCCGGGTCTCTCTCTAGCCCCAGCTGGCCTGTAACTTATATGTAGACCATGATGTTTTCAATCTCACAGAGATCTGCCTTCTTCCCTAGTGCTGGGATTAAAAGTGTGTAGCTTTAACTATGCCTGGCTTGTTTCTTATGTTTTAAGCAGAAACAAGGTGTTTTGTGTTTTATAAACTTCTATATATTTCAGGTTATTTGCTTTCTGTGTTTTCCCCCCCTCAGTACCATTTTCTCCTTAAAATAAGTGAATTGACAAATAGATTTTACTTTCCTAATACTATGAGAGATTGTTTTTAGTTTAAAAATGATTTTGCTTACATGAGGCATGGTGGCATACTCCTTTAATCCTAGCCCTCAGGAGGCAGAGGTAGGGGATATCTGTGAGATAGAGCCCAGCCTGGTCCACATAGTGACTGCCAGGCATGCTTTTACAAGGGAGACCCTGTTAAAAAAATTGCTTGTAGCTAAGGAATGATAAGCTCCACAGTTGGAATTCTAAATGGGTTCCAAAAAGTTAAAAATTAGTAGAAAATTAATGAAGACTTCTTGGAAATGTGTAGGTGATGGGTAAATTGTGCCCCTTTACCACAGCTACAGTATAGGCAAATATGATTATATTATCATATACAGGTCTATAATATTATTGTTGTAATAAAAACATATAACACACATTCTGTTGAATACCTAATTGTGAACTATTCAAAATAAACAAATGATTATATTTCCTCCACGTTTTTGTATAGGTGAAATTCAGTCTCACAAATTTCTGTTCAGAAATGATGCTGTTAAAATGTTACCATTTGTAGTAACTTATCTGTTTTTAAATTCCTGACCCAACCTGAAATAATCATCTTCTTCCTTTGTGGCTACAGATGGTCCCTATCCATCCATCTGTCAGCCTTGGAAAACTGGTCTCCCACAGTGATTTTCTCTCCCTGGAGGTAGTTAAACTTATATTAGAGGATCATCAACATGAAGCCATGTGTCCACATGAACAACCTGCACCTTAGCATTAGGCGGGCAGCATTAAGACATGTGATATCCAATTTGCCAAAGACATCTGCTACATAATGGGTGGTCTATCTTCATGTATGCACAGCTTGAGAGAAACCTCTGAACAAAGTACATGTAGCCAAATTTCCCTCTGCAAATGTCAATGAGTCAGAAGAAAGTAGAATCCTATAGCCATGAATGAGTAGAGATGGGTCCTTTAAAATCAGTGTTATTGTGAGAGTATATATGCTAAGTATCACTAGCAAAGTCAATATACCTTGGATTATATACTGAGAAGAACTCTGGTATTGTAAAAACCTAGCATATACAGTAGGTTGACTCAAAAGTTATCATAGACATTGATCTTCAGTAAATATGGAACATTAAAGGCTTCTGCTTTGCTAGTGACTTATCTAAATACTGACAGTCAAGCTCTAAAAGCCAGAAGCACATTATCCTTCCACCCAATTCTTGATTGGCAGCAATTGTTCACATTTTTAGGACAGTTTATTTAAATTTAATAGGGTTTATATAACAAAGACAGATTCTCGTTTATTCATTTAAAAGAGTGAAATCTAGGGGAGAAAATGTTTAATACCTAAGTTCTGATAGAGTTTATATCTTCCTGAATGAAAAGAGTTATTACTTATGTTCAGAATTCATTTTAGGTTCATTCATTCTGAATTAATGAACCATGTACTGAAGAGTTAATTAACCCTTCATTAAAATATATAAATGTAAAGTGAATAAGATTTTCACAATGTGTACATATATTAGCATTACATATGGTCAATTTTTGAGGAATTGCATTTTTAGGAATTTTTATTACTTTTAACTCATTTTAAAAATCCGTAGAAGGACAGGAGTGGCCCAGCTTTCCTATTTTTCCCCACTGTGATACCAAAAGCTTTCCAGGCTGTTGGACCTACTTGAAACAAAATAGTGTTTCACCTTCTGTGTTATATTCATACCCTAAGAAGTCCAATTTCTAAGACAACCAAGAAGTGATAGAAGCAATAAACATTATTAGTGCAGGGAATTCCCTTTATGAGATTTCCATAAAGACATTTCCTGATACCATCTCCTCTCTGTGTTGAATGGAACACATTTAATTCCCAAAAGCCATGTGCTACAGTGGAATTCTCATTATGACAGAAGTTGGAAGTGGAGTTTGGAGGAATATAACAGGTCTGGATAGTAGATCAATTATGAATGGAACTAGTTACTTCATAATAGAGAAACAATCAATGTTTTCTTCTCCAAAATCTGTGTATATCAGAAAGAGGCAATTTTCTAAACTGGAAGTTAAACTGGACAGCAGATCTGCCGGTACTGGTGTTGAACACCCAAGCCCCTGGAAATGGGACAGGGTCAGGTTCCCTGCTAAATCAAAGTGTCTATGTTGCTCTATCCAAGCAACCAAAAGCAACTAGGACATTGGTCTTTAGGGTAAAGGAGAATATCATAACCTCTTTAGAAAGAGTAATTCTAATTGGATCTTACTAAGAAAAAAGGGCTGGAGTATTGAAGCAAGTTAGTGACAAACCAGGGGCAGCAACAGAGATGAAGTATTTCTGTGAACTTTCTCTCACAGGTGATTTTCAATGAATATTTGAACAGGTTCAAGCTAAAAGATCATCTATACTAATGTCTCCTTCAAAAGCTTTTATACCGCTAAAACTAAATCGAAGTCCATTTTGACTTCCAGATTCAAATGCAGATGTAAATGATGCATCACGTTTAGCACTGAATAGTTCTTAACAAAAAGTTTCTTCATCTTGGAGACAGTTCCTAGCTATTCAACATGCATAACTTTAGCAGCTTATATCTCTCTCTTAATGTTCAAAAGATTCAATAAGTCTTAAAGGACTTGATAGAAAATGTTAAGTATTTTCTTATTACTTTGTAGCCCACAATATACCTTGTATTCTTTGGATGAAAACATGGATTTGAATCATTGTGGGTGAAATCAAATTCATGATGCTGACTTTTTTTTTTGTCTCTTTTGAGACAGGGTCCCCCTGTAACCCCAGCTGTCCTGGAACTCACTATGTAGACCAGGCTGGCCTCGAACTCACAAAGACCCGCCTGCCACTGCCTCTCAAGTGCTGGGATTAAAGGCATGCGCCCACCACACTGGCCTATTGACCTCTTTTTTAAAAAAATAATTTTCACTTATTAACCAGGCTGGTCGAACTCACAAAGACCCGCCTGCCACTGCCTCCTCAGTGCTGGGTTTAAAGGTGTATGGCACCAAGCCTGGTGATGCTTTTTATATTTTTAAAAATTTGTTTATTTATATTTGTTTGTTTGTTTTGAGACAGGGCCCCCTTGTAGCCACAGCTGGCCTGGAAAGCACTCTATAGACCAGGCTGGACTTGATCTCAAAGGGATCCTCCTTCCTTTGCTTCCTGGGTGCTAGGATTCAAGGCATGGGCCACCATACCCATCTACAGACATGTATTTTATTTTAACAAAAGTGCAGGTGAGAAAGGCAAAAAAGTAAAAGACAAATGAGATAACATCAAAATGTGTAATTTCTACATAGCCAAAAAACACAATGAACAGAGTGAGAAGACCGTTCAAATGATAAATCTGACAAGGGACAGACGAAGAGCTCAATTCTAAAGAAGTCAAATAAGAAGCAAAATCAAGTGATGATTTCCTTAAAATGAGGAAAGAGTTATGTCACTATCTCTCAAACTACAGAATTAGTCAGCCCCAGTTTGCCAGAACTCACAGCAATCCACCTGCCTCTGTCTCTGGGATGCTGGGATTAAAAGCATAGGCCTCCATGCCCACCTTTGTGTAGGTTTTTGAATAAAATATTTTGGAAATAATAAGGAATGAGACCTTGTCATTTATCGTACCTCAGATAGGTATGTTTATCATCACATTAAGTGAAATGAGCCAGATAAAAGAAACCAAGTACCGCTTTATGTCATTCAATTGCAGCTATGGAAATGTGGAGTCCAAAGATCAGTGCTGCTGACATTGTTTAAAAAAAGGTTAAATGAGAGGGGTTATTAGGGAGGAACTTAATAATTTGTTATAAGATATATTTAGAAGAAACTAGATTTTATACACCATTCCAGAAAATTGATATTTAATGATATTACATGGTCTTGGGGGTTATTAAAAGCACTAGAAGATACAAATAACTATTTGAGATGTTAAGTAGCCTAAATATCTTGAGTTGTTTATGATAAATTATATGAATGAATTTCATTCCAATATCAAAATGTACCACATGAATGTGTCTAATTTTGAAAAAATAAAAACAATTAAATTTTAAATGTCAATAATTTAAGATAAATCACTTAAGTATAAAATATTTTTGTTATTGTTCTTAAATGTAAAATATTTTTTATTTCAAATGTTTAAAAACTTAACAGCAGACATTTATAGATTACGAATGTAATAGTTATTGAGAGTGAGTGTGGGAACTTGTAAGAGTCTCCAAAAATAATATTGTAATATTTTTTCCTGAGGAGATTTTATTTCTACATCTGATTTTTACTATAGTTAGGGTTATGTAAATTAATGATAAATTGAACCTATAGTTGCTATTAATCTGTTTTAGATATCATGATTCAGAAAAAAATGTTATAATTAGCTTTTAACTAAAGGTAAAAAGACTTATCTCCTTTTCTTTCCAAAAATAGGAAAATGCTTGCACCTTTGAGAAATATGAAGGATATAACATTGATGATCTTATTCATCTTCTACAGCCACTGAACTATGAGAAAAAAAAGTCATACACACTCAACATAGAGGGAGCAAATACACATCTCGACTTCCGCTTTTCCCACTTGGGACCTTTTAAGGATGCTACGATGCTGAAGATCATTGTTGGAGATGTGGATGAGCCGCCTCTCTTTTCGATGCCTTCTTATGTCATGGAAGTCTATGAAAATGCCAAGATTGGGACAATTGTTGGCACTGTTTTGGCACAAGACCCTGACAGTGCTAACAGCTTAGTAAGGTATGGTGCTCGGGATCTTCCAGATGTGTGAAGGTTTCTATTGTCTCTCACAGTAATTTAATGGGAATTTAAATAATAGCTGATTATTTTATTTTCAAATGGTTTTTCTATTATAATTAGACTATAATGATAATTATTTTCTGATTAAATTATCAGATAGATTTTGGCCAAATTAAGAATATATGCAAGCTTGGGGACTAAAAAGATATCTCAGGGATTAAGAGTAATTGCTTCTCTTATAGAGGACCAGAGTTCAATACCCAGTACCCACATAGTGGCTCACAATTACCTGCAACTCCATTTCCAGAGATCTGATGCCCTCTTCTGGCCTCTGCAGACATGGCATACATGTGGTGTACTTATATACATGCAGGCAATCATTCATATGCATAAAACAACTTAAACAAAAAGAACATATGAAAGGTTCTAGGGAGATGAGTTAATCGATAATGTCCTTGTGATGCAAGAGCCTGAGTTTGGATCACAAGAATTCATTTAGATCTTGGATGGGTTTTGTAGTTTGCCTGTAATGCCAGCTGTCTGAAGGCAGAGACAGGTAATCCCTTTTCACTGAGCTCTGGGTCAAAGGAGAGACATGACCTCAATGAATAAGGTAGACAGTGTTCAAGGAAGACTCCTAATGCCAATATCAGGTCTGCATACACACATGCATATATGTACACATGCACTCATACTCACATGGACACCCACCCACACATAAGAGACCATGAATGTACACAAATGAGCACTGCATTCAACTACACATGAAAAAAATGAAAAACATATTATGAAAGCTATTGCCATGAATATATTGGGAATCACAGAGATTAATGTTTTTCTTTTGATGTTGTCGAGGGTTTCAGGAAGAGGTACATTGTCTCCAAAGATCAAAGAATTAAAAGTAAGTAAGGAAATATTATCAGGAGTTGGAAAGTCTTTTCAGATCCACTAGATGATACTGGGGAAAGTGGGGACCGCTCCTGAGGTTCTTAGTCTCATTAATAAAATAATTCAGAATGGACTCAAATGGAAGCTCCAGGACAATTATTAGAATTTAAAATAAAATCTCAAGGGCAGGCATGCTGTAAATCTCACAGCTCCTATGAAAGGGTGATGACAAGCCAGGATTGAGGTCACCCACGTGATCATAGGCCACAGGAGTAGGACTACTTTAAAGAGGTAGGAAGCATAAAGCAACAGAGAGTCAAAACATAATTGGGCTTTGGCCAGCACCAGAAAGAAAAAGAAGAAAAGAAAAAGAAATGTCTATGCCTTTCTGAGAAGGGACTCAGAAAGCTGGGCAGCCCAGCCAACCTTGAGGGTTTCATAAAGACTGAACTAGGGGTTAGGAACTTTGGAACAGAAAAGTACATTTTCTTAGGATAAAACTTCCTCCCTAAGGGGGGGTCCCCAAGCCAGGCCCTTGACTTACTCAACTGAATTAATTCTGAAGGAAGGAGACAAGGGCATGTGTACTCCTACAAGTAGATACCATTTTCTACTATAACGTCTTGACTTAATGAATTATCAGAACTTCCTGAGGAAACTGTATAAATGATAGTAAACTAGAGAATCATTTATTACTTGGTAATAAGAAAAGCATATAGAGTACAAAAAAGTAAAATTTGAGGCTAGTGCTGATCCCGAAGGGATGCCTGGTTTCTAGTCCCACTATGTTACCTAGATTATCATCGATCAATTATCTGTAAAAGATGAAGCCTAAAATCTAAAATCAGAGTTATCATGAGGCTAGCACCAAATAGAATTTCCTGAATCTAGCAGTCATTCACGAAATGCTAACATCTTCAAGGAACTCTAGAACACTAAGAGGCTAGATTCAGAAGACAGAGGACCATTTTATCTCTATCAATTTGAGTGACATTTGTTGTCCTCAAATTCCTAATGCTTAAAAAAGAAATTAGTATGCAATAAAAATATGACAATAGAATTATCATACATTAAAATGAAGGGTTTACCACATTGCCAAGTCCCTAAGTGCTTCTGATAGTTTAATGTTGTACTGTTATCTAATAAGAATAATTATTATTTTCTTGCTCAAACAGAAAGGGTTTCTTCTGTCTCATGACAAAATCAAAAGAACTGCAGAGATGTATATGAACTAGTTTGTGAATGACCTCCAAAGCTATAGAAAGTTTGAGATCGTCACCAACTTGTTTGCCCATAAAGCTTTCATTCCTCTACTAGCCTTTGTTTTTAAACTTTCTGTTTGACAGTTTCATACATTTACATAAACCATTTTGATTGGTTTCAGCTCCTAGTCCCCTTTCTCACCCTCCTCCCTCACCCACTGAAACTCTTCTTCCCAGAAGTCCTGCACCTATTTTCAATTCTTTTTTGTGTAACCTAGTGAGTTTAATTAAAGCTTCCTGCCCTGCTGTAGGTGGGAAGTCTGTTCACTGGAGCAAGAACAATCACCTGTGACCAAACCCCTGAAGAAAATTACACTCTCTACCCAACCATCTTTAGGCTACTACATCACAGTGTTTTGTCAGTATCTATTAACCTAAATATTCCATTTGATTTTCTAAAAACATGCTTGTTTCAATTTTACTTTAAGGGACTCATTCACAAAGAGAAGCAACTTCTGTGCATAAAGATACATGTTCAACATTTTTTGCTCTTGCTGTGACAAGAAGCTATTGCACTGGCAGATGTGTCCTAAAGCAAGATGCACTACATTGCATTCCCACAGTCCTGTAGCAGAGAAAGCTGAAGGTGAGAGTGCCCGCTCTCCAGGTTCTGCTGAGGGCCTGCTTTCCAGTTTACAACAGTTGTCTTCTCACTCTGACCTCATTGGTCAAAGAAGAAAGAAAGAAACAAACATCTCTCCTTTATCTCTTTTTACAAGATTATAAATGCTATCATGAGTTCACCAGTTTTTAAGCTTTGGAGAGATTTTATTTTATTTCTTTTTCCTTTTTTTAAATTTCAAATGTTTTACTTTTTAAAATTAGCACACAAGATATTAGATTTCATTTTGGCATTTCCAAACAAAATGCATTTTACTGATTATCCTTTCCCTTCATCAGTTTGGCCTCTAAATGAAATTGTCATGGATTATTTGGCTTATCAATAACATAAATTAATTTCTCTTAGTTCTCTATCAGGGTCCCAGAATGGCATTGTTGTGTTGAGGCGTCCCTGATGCATTACTGACAACTCATATCCTCATGTGTTCAAAAGAGAGTAGCTGTTTCTTTTCCTGAAAGATCACTTATCCCTCTGTGATAGTTACAGTCTTACAACCTAACATCTCTCTAAGACCCTGCCTATGCACTTTGATAGATAGATGTGTCCAGAATTTAGCAGCAGGATGATACTGGTTAGCAGAGCTACCAAGAAGGGATCAGAATACCCCTGCTATAAGTTCCAATGACAAAGAATTCTCTGGCCTCAAATATCATTTAGCCTGAGGCTAAGAAACTCTGATACAAAAGAAGACAAATTGGTTGATATATCAAAAATTCTCATGAAAATTAATTTAAAAGAACTTCCTGGGACATATAGGTCAGTAAGAATAGCTCTGGTATATCTCTGTCCTGTGAATGTTTCAGTGTCCACGTTTCAGTCAGGAACTTAAGTTATTTGTGTGGGTAATTTATTGTCTCCTGACATTTCTAATTACCTTAGCAGTCACACCATATAATTGGAAACATTAACTGAGTGCTTACAATATTCTCCTAGCTGTTGTATAGAAATGATTGATATGATACATTGTCTTCAAATGCTAATATGTTTATTATCATATTCTTTATTCTAATGCTCTGTGCTCATTCAAAGATTAATGAGTTTGCTAGAGTTGTCTTTAAACAATTAGGAACTACAAAGCTGCTGTTTACATAATATTTGTTTCTGATTTTTTAACAAAATGTATGATTCATATGAAACTCTAGGTGCAGGCAATGAATAAGAAAAAGAAAAAAAGAGAGAGAGGCACACAAAAGTGAGCCACATACCATCCCCTTCACAGGGATCAGATAGCTGTAATAAAGAAAAGTACAGTGAGAAGCTCTACCTTGAAATGTGCCAGAACACGGCAATTACCTCCACATTTGCAGAACATGTAATAAAAGGGAGCTGGGATCTTACCAGCACTTGTGAAAATCTGCTTGACTTTATTCTTTTGTATTACAGGTGATTAGATCTTTCATTTTTTTATAGGATGCCATATCAAGGTTTTTTTGTTTTTTTTTTTCTGTTCAAAATAATGTGTGCAATTTATAGGAAGATAATCATCACCTTTCGTTAAAAAAATATATAAAAAAAAGGAGCTGGGATCTTACCAGCACTTGTGAAAATCTGCTTGACTTTATTCTTTTGTATTACAGGTGATTAGATCTTTCATTTTTTTATAGGATGCCATATCACAAGGTTTTTGTTTTTTTTTTTCTGTTCAAAATAATGTGTGCAATTTATAGGAAGATAATCATCACCTTTCGTTAAAAAAATATATAAAATTAAAGGTTGGTGGTTTACAGGCACTAAGAAGATCAGTGGTTTGAGCAACCTCTATTTACCTTGCTAGCATAATACAGGTAGAATGCGATTTCAGAAATACAAACCTATTTTTATCAGTTGATCAAATAAATACTTTTGATGTTGTTCCCTAAAGTTTTTGACATCTGTCAAATAATCTATTAATGACTCATATTTACTCATAAACAAATATTCAGGAATTTAACTATTTCAAAAGGTTGAATAATAAAAGTTTAGATTTGTAATGTAAACTCATTCTGCTTTATTTAATCTTCAACCAGTTTTCAAAGCACCGCATAACGCTTCTTTTATATTTCGGCTAGTGAAAATAACACAAGTATCTTTCTGTTCCTAAAAGTTGTATTTAAATTACAAGGACAATAAAGGAATGTTTTAAATGACCAGGAAGCCAATGATGAGTGTTACTGACTGGAAATAGTGTTTGTACAGGTTTATATATACCCAAAATAGTGTCAAGAACACAGAGTCTTGCCAGTTAAAACTGCTTACTCAAGAATAAAACTGACAATATGTGAGATCTATCCATATTGCAAAGATAATAATGTACATTACAAGATTTGAAAAGGGAAATGGAAATTATTGGAGTCACTATCTTGAATAATTCTAGAAGGTAAATTTACATAAATTGCTGTATACCAAAAACTTCACATCCTTCCACATCCATTTACAATCTGAGGTTTCCTAGACCCTTAGTAGGCAAATGCAGCCAGCATGTTCACTACATCCTCTCTGGTGTGTTTAGTTTCTTATAAGTTTCTGAAATAATCACCTCATTTAAAATGCAGGCAAGAGGGAGTTCTTCCCTAACTGTCGATGTTACAACAGCATGTGGTTTCAAAATAATGATGTGGTAGTATTGGCCACATTCAAGAAGCTGAATGAAAAAACAAACAAAACGAAAATTGAGAAGAATAATTGATGCATAGCTTTGAAAAGAAAGATGAACTGTCAACAAATATATTGCAAAACATATTCACATTTCAAATGTTATCTAACATATAAATGAGTTTTAATTGATAAATTTGTATAGCCGTTCATCTCCCTGACAATTGGATAATTTTTATGTTTCTTTCAAGGCAATCCTAAATATGCCTTAATTGAAACTGTGCCAGAATTTCTTAGTAGAAAAGGGATAATTCATCAGAACCGTTTAGTGAGAAATAAGCACAGAGACAAATGAAGGCTCTTGTCTAAAGCCAGAGATTCTTGCCTTTAGCCTGCATCTTGTTAAGTTTAATATTACATTTGTCTAATAGAAGCACACAGATTAATGACTATACTTTATAATATCATGTACATATGATACTTGAGAATTTAAGAGGCCTAGTGATGACTATAGTATTACTATTTTTTCATGGATAATTGAGTATATCTCCAGACTAGATGTGCTGAATCACTGGATCCAAGTAAGTCAAGCAACTAATGGTAGAGATGAAACATTGTGACCATACTTCCTGTGCTTTGTAGGCAACCTCTAAGCCTCTGAATAGGGCAATAATTTCTAATACATATACATAGTTCACATTTTATCAGACACTAAAGTAGAATGGGAGACTTGTCATATGAAAAATGATGGTTTTAGTTTGTTTAAAATGATTATATTCTGGATGCATGTCTTCAGTCATAAATTTCATAGCCAAATCTGAAAGGAACTTAAAAAAATCAGAGTCATACAGCAGATGTTTTACTTTCAGTTGATCTAAGGAGAAAGTCAATTTCCATACTGTTCCATGAGTTTTACATTCATTAAACTTTTTTCCACCACTCTTAATCAATAAAACAATATAGTTACAGAGGGAAGAAATCTCAATGATTTTTCCACACTTGCAGGTGTATCTGAACATATCTGAAGGATAGAAACTGAGAGAGACACTCTATGTTTTTATATTTTGAGCTACTAAAGCATTTAAAAATGCATCAGTGTTGAAGTAGATTTTAAATACATGTTTGAAATCAATTTATCTTGCTGAAATCTACAAAATATATTGGATCAAGTTACTGCCTAGTCTGAATGAAAATTTGTTACTAAAATGAAAGATAGCATTCAAATGTACTTTAAGATGACAATCATCTTCAGACTGTGCCTACATTTTCAGATGGAAATTGAGCAACAAGTGGAGAACTAGGTAGTTTGTTTAAGGTAGCATTTGTTGAAAAAAATATTGAATAATGGTAACCATTACTGATATTGACTATTTATTACACTTATAACTTGTCAGCCTGTATCTTCATCTGTGAATGCTAATTTGAATAAATGTTGCCCTTATTTTGATGATTTAAACTTTTTCATGTTCACACAGCTTGAAATATACTTACTAGAAGTATTTAATAGTGCATATATTGACTGTCAGAACAAGAAGTTGTAAGGGCATGTAATATAATTCATATTTAGATATCAGAATAGAAAGCTGGAAGATTTCTTGCTGGAAAAGGAATAGAAGAATTTCTCTATTCATATTAAATAGATAAGGATTGCATTGGAGATTGTTTCAATTAGAGTGTTTTATGGACTACTAGGCAAACAGCAACTAGCACAAAGTTTAATTGCACTTTCTTTACTCTACAGTTAGAATGATTACAAAGACCCAGCCGAAGACATCTTGATAATTGGTAAATTATTTGAAGTAGCATTCAGCATAGCATGCAAGTTTTGTAAACATCATGACCAAATACGGGAAAAAAAAAAGCAAAGAGGAATTATTTATGGTTACAGTTTTAAAAGGGCTCACCCCATGTGCACTTAGCTCAGGGTTTCTAGACTCAGTATGAGGTGGAAAATAATCATGGTAAGATCATGTATCAGAGGAGCTTCTATATAGTGGACATCAACCAGTGAAAATAGGGCATGGGGAGACCAGGTAAGATAATGACCTCATGCTTCAGAAATTAATGCCTCTAACTAAACCCCACATTCCACTTTTCACAGCTTCCCAATAGGGACACAATATTACTGCAAGCCCACCAAGGCATTAACCCAGAGATTAGTTCAGAATCTTCAGGCCTCAAGACATCCATATTGGTATACACACACTTGTACATTACTAATCTCTTAGTGATTCTCAATACAGTGACGCTGATAGTGAAGATTACACATCATATATAGACAATACTTTGATGCTTATTTTACAGTGATATCATGAGTAGATAATAGTGACAGAGTCAAAACGTTGTGTTACAATCTTCATATGACAGTAGTCCTGATCTGTCTTAAGATTTCCCTCTCACATTAGCTCATTAGCCTGCACGCGCCTATGGTCCAAAGTGTTTATCAAATAATCTTTAGGACACAGGTTTGTTTTTAATTTTTCCCACTTTGAAGCTGATAACAAAAGATGAACCTTAATCAATGATAATTGTATTATACTGAATGTTATTTCAAAAATGTTTGAGTTCATTGGAACACTGTAAGAATTATAAATTTACTGGTTCTTTTTTCAATATTCATCTATTTCTCAATTAATGAAAAAAACAGTGCACTGAATAATGCACATGAACATACTGACTATTTCAAATAACTCAAGATGTTTACTTAATTTCAAATTTGTACTTAGGTTCCTCCTATTTCACACGTTCTTCCCACAGCACTGGTCATGCGTTAGCAACTGGTTGTGGGTTTCAGTTGTCGATTAAGTTCTTCATAGCTGTAAGTAATATGGAAAAAAATACTGGAGGACCTCTCAGTAGGAGGGAACTCATGGTTGGCACTGTAAACATGGTCAAATACACATAACTGGAATGGTCAAAGATCCTAGAGGAAGAACTGCTTTTGCCATATCCCTAGACCAACCTATTTCTTAATATATTCTAAATATGTATCCTCCATATGTACATATATATAGAGAGAGAGACATTTGTACCTCTTAACACTCATTGAAAAAAATTTGCAACATATGGAGACTATTACAGAATTTTTTTCTGTAATTTGAATGGAGGGATGGGTCTTGGATGCAAAGGGTATAATATATCAAAAACAATAAAATAATAAAATAAAATTTAAAAAATTTATGTGCATGAATATATTTCCTGCATGTATGAAAGTGTATCCATGTCATACACTGCCCACCATAGTGTTGGACTCTATGGAACTGGAGTTACAGACAGTTGTGAGCCACCGTGGGGGTCCTGGCAACTGAACCCAGGTCCTCTGCAAGAGCAGCCAGTGCTCTTAACCACTGAATAATTTCTCCAGCCCCTGCAATCTTGTTCTTAAGAGTCAAATATAGAAATTTAAAACATAGTTGATTATTTTAATGTATTTGATTTAATACCTCCCTTTATTACATTATATTCTCCTCATTATAGCACATCAATAAAGAATATTGCCTTTTGTTTCTTTCAGATACTTTATCAACCACAATGCTGAAGAGGACAGATTTTTCAACATTGATCCCAATACTGGAACCATTAAGACTACAAAAGTACTTGACAGAGAAGAAACACCCTGGTATAATATCACAGTGACTGCTTCAGAAAACGGTAAACAGGTGTATTTACATATGCTGGGGAACAATGCCACTGTGTGTTAAGTCTCATGCAAAGACTTCCTGGCCAGCAAGGTGCTCAGTAGTGTTTTTCTGGCCCAATCTAGCAGAATTACAGAACATGTTAGACCCATAACAATTGGATGCAGTAAATAAACTTTAAGGTTCTTTCACTTTAATCACAGTGTACAGGCAGAAATTTTACATCAAGAATTATTATCCTCATCCTTGAGGCATGAGTGATTTTCATCTTAATTGAATGTTTTTGTTTTCCATGTACTTATAGTTTACACATACCACCAACTCTTTACATCAAGGATACTTTATATGTGGCAGTTCAGAAAAAGAAATTGAACATTTGTAATTGCCCTTGTGAAATCAATATGGTATCCTTGCTTCAGTAAGCACTTGTAAAATTTACAGTGAAAGAAATACTCAGGAAATTCAGCTTCAGGTCTAAGGCCACTCTAAGAAAAGCTTCTGACAAAAACCCAAGATAATCATCCAGGGTATTGCACTATTGCAAACACCTAAATTTAAAATTAAATAATGCAAATATTAGAGTTTCCAAAATAGTGAATCTTATTATCAAAATAAAATAGAATAAAGCTCTTAAAAATGAGATCAATTTCATACTATTAGTCTTTATTAGGAAATTAGAAGATTATGAACTAACACCAGTTTAGAATTGAAGACAGAAAAAAACCCACAAAACTTTGAGAGCTATTTCATTATATTTATGTCAAAACCATAAATATATTTGACTGTAGGAATATTTCATAATGAAAAATGATATGGCATGAAATGTGGTAAGACTTTCATTTCTTCCAAATATTCAGTGTCCAAAACATTTAAACATGTGCATTTAGACATAATTGACACAGAATATAGTCATCCTTTTAAAGTATATTATTCAGTTGTTCCTCCATTATCACAAGGAATATTAAAACATTTTCATTCTTCCTGTAGACTAAGGAACACCAATGATAAGCCTTCTGTCTCTCTAGATTTGGTTATTTCTGGTATTTCTTTTCATTCTTTAAAGTTGCTCTGTTGCATGGATTTGGCACTTTTCATTTATCTCTTGTTTCTGGTAGAATTTAGAACTGTTGTACATTTTGCTTGCTATAAACAATGCTGTTGTTCATATTAACTCAGAAATGGTTTGGTTGCCTGTTTCTATTTCATGAAATCTTGAGAATATTCTTAGGATCTAGAATTCCTGGACATTTGGTAATGCCATGCTTAAATCATTTTGATTAACTGCCAGATTATTTTACAAAGAGTAAGATTTCACATTCCTTTTGGTTTTTTATTCTGTTTTGTTGTGTTTTGTTTCTTTTCTATTTTCTTTTTTAATTGAGCTTTTAATAACATTTCCTACTTACATCTAGACCCTCCCCATCCATGCCCTCCCCCACGAACCCTATGCACTCTGCCATACATTCTGAGTCTATTCATTCAAGTGTTTGTATGCAAAGGGTCTTCAGTGTAAATGTGTCCACTGGAGTCTAGTCAGACCATTCAGGGGTCATGTGTAAGTCATACTCTCCCTCACCCAGCAGCAACCAGTATCAAAGAGTTCTCGATCTAGTGCTGACCCATCACCTATTTCTCACCTCTCTTTTGGTCCCTTGTTTAATTTAGCTGACATGGGTCCTGCTTTGGATGCTGCATGTGCACATGAGCAAGCCTCCATTGGCCTCAAAGCCTCCACTTCATGTGTTCGTGAACCAGCCCTGGCTCTTCCAATCTTTCTGTGTCCTCTTCCACAATAGTCCCTGAGCCATGGGTGGGTGAGGTTCCATGTAGGAGTCCCATCCTTTACTCTACAGTCCCTTATTCTCCAAAATTTGTCCAGTTGAGGCCTTCTGTGTGTATCACACTCTGATGTACATGGATGCTTCACTGGTGAGAGTTAAGGGGTACATTAGCCCTCTCTCTAACCCTTATTTCTCTATGTTCTGTGAACCTTGGTTGGAGAGATTCAACTGCAGATGTGTCACCTAGTACTGGGCATCTCCCAGGTATATGTTCTCTATGCCTGACCAGGTGTGCAACTCTGCAGTAGCCTCCATCTGTTGCAAAAAGAAGTTTCCTTTATGAGTGATGTAGGGCAAGTTATTCCCTCTAAGAGAGGTCTCTTTTATCACACACTGCATTCCCGACCAAGCAGCCCCTAGGTATATATATGCATTAATGTTCAGACACTCTACATGCATTTCTCATAAAGTTTCTAGGGCATTACATTTCCCTCTAGGTTTCTTAGCCTCCCAAGCTTCACTCATCCCTATTCTTTGTTCCCTCATCTGGCCTCTCTCCCTTCTTAGTCATAGTGCTCCCATTATTCCCACCCTCCCAATTCCTCCCGACTCCTGGACTCTTGCCATCTTTCCATTCCTGACTTCCTTTGCTATCCCATACTGTGATCCCTTGAATGTCCCTCCTTATTCTCCTTACTGCCGATTACTCACACTTTTTCCACCTCCTTCAAGTAGCATCTGTTCCCTACTATCTCCCTTTCAGGTTTTTTCTTTTCCTTTACTTCCATGTATCCTTCGCCTTTACCTGGCTCCTGGTGTTACTTCAGAATTTACATACTCACATATAAGGGATTGGTGCTGCAATCCACAAATGAGGGAGAACGCTTTTTTTGCATGTGTTACTTCACCTAGTAAAACACTCTCCATCCATTTACCTGCAAATTTCATAATTTCATCTTTTCTTACTGCTGAGTAGAACTCCTCTGAGTAGATAGACCACATTTTCATCAACCATTTGTCAACTGAGGGACATTAAGTTGTTTCCACTTCTTAGCTATTGTGAAGAGAGCAGCAGCAAACATGGATGTACAGGTATCTCTACAGTACGATGAGTCCTTTGGGTATATACCAAGGAGTGGTATCACTGGATAACACTGTAGGTTCATTTGTAGTTTTGTGAGGGTTCACCACACTGCTTTCCACAGTGGTTCCACAAGTTTGCATTCCCACCAGCAGTGAATGAGCGGTCCTCTTTCTCCACATCCTCTCCAGTATTTGGAGTTTTTTGTTCTCTTGATCTTGGCCAATCTGACTGGGGTAAGATGAAATCTTAGAGTGCTTTTGATTTGCATTTCTCTCATTACTAAGAATGTTGAGGATTTTTTAAGATGCTCCTATTTTTATTGGGTTGTTTATCTTGTTATTTCTTTCTTTTTTGAGTTCTTTGGCTACTCTGGATATTAATCTTCTGTTGAATGTGTATCTGGTGAAGATTTTCTCCCACTCAGTGGGTTTCCTCTTTCTTTACTTAGTTCTTTCTTTCACTGTAAACAAAGTTTGTAGTTTCATGAGGTCCCACTTGTTAACTGTTGACCTTAGTGCTTGAGCAGCTGTTATCTGGTTTAAAATGACCTTTCCAATGCCTCTATCTTGGAGGGTGCTGCCCATGCTGTCTTCTAGCAGTTCCAAGTTTCACATTTTAAATTGAGGTCTTTGATCAATTTGGAGTTCTCTATTGTACAGGGTGAAAGATAAGGGTCAAGTTTCATTTTTCTGCAAGTGGAGATCCAGTTATATCAACACCACTTGTCGAAGATGCTATCTTTCCTTCTTAGCACCTTTGTCAAATATCATGTGGCTGAGATTATATGAACTCATGTTTGGGTCTTCTATTGTGTTCCATTGATCTATGTGTCTGGTCTTCTGACAGTACCATGCTGTGTTTATGAGTATAACTCTGTAATATAATCTGAGATCTGGTGTGGTGATCCCCCCAGCCTTGTTCTTTTTGCCCAAGATTGTTTTGGCTATCCAAGAACTTCAGTGATTCCATATGAGTTTTAGGATTATTTTCTCAAGCTCTGTGTAGAATGTCATGGGTATTTTGATTGGGATTGCATTGAATTGATAAATTGCATTTATTAAGATGGTCATTTTCATAATATTGATTCTACCAATCCATGACAATATTAGGTCTTTCCATCTCCTAGTGTCTTCCTCTATCTCTTTCTTTAGAATTTTGAAATTTTCATTGAAGAGATAATCTAATGTCTTTGATTAACTTTATTCTTAAATACTTTTTGAGGCTATTGAGAATGGGAGGATTTGCTCTAGTGCTTTTTCTGATTGCTTGTTATTGGTATATAGAAAGGCTACTGATTTTTGTAAGTTGATTTTGTATCCTGCCGCTTTAGCGAAAGCATTAATGAATTCTAACAGTTTTCTCATGGAATTTTTGGGATCTCCTATGTATAATATCATCTGCAAATAGTGATAATTTGACCTCTTCTTTTCCAATTGGTACTCCTTTAGCATCTCTTGTCTTATTACTCTAGCAAGGGTTTCAAGCACTATATTGAAAAGGAGTGGAGATAGTGGACAGCCTTATCTGGTTCCTGATTTTAATTGGAATGCTTCTGTTTTTCTTCATTTAGGATGATGTTGGCTTTGGGTTTGTTGTGTACAGCTTTAATTATGTTGAGGTATGTTCTTGCCAGACCCACTCCTTCTAGGACTTTTAACATGAATGCATGTTTGATTTTGTCAAATGCCTTTTCTGCATCTACTGAGATGACCACGTGGTTTTTGTCTTTTAAGTTTTGTTACATTTGTTAACTTAACGAATGTTGAACCATCCCTGCATCTCTGGTATAAAGCCAACTTGATCATGGTGGATGATCTTTTTGATGTGTGCTTGTATTCAGTGTGCAAGTATTTTGTTGAGTATCTTTGTATCTGTGTTCATCAAAATATGTGTCTGTAGTTTTCTTTTTTTGTTGTATCTTTTCCTGGTTTGGCCATTAAAGTGATACTGGCTTCATAGGAGCTTGGGAGTTCTCCCTCTGTTTCTATCTTTTTGAATAATTTAAGCAGTATTGGTTGTAGATTTTATTTGAATGTCTGGTAGAATTCTGCTGTGAATCCATTTGGGCATGGGCTTTTTTCAGTTGGGAGGTTTTGTGTTATTGTTTCAGTTTCCCTAAATTCTTGCAAATTGTAGGATTTCAAGTTC